ACTTCAAGCTTCTATCTGTTGACCCATTCAGGTGTTTTCAATTAATTTGCCTGATTAGAGCTTCTGCGCATGTGCTGTGCTTGAATTACGTCACTTTTTTTGTACATTTCAGGGTTGAAGAGGGACTAGATTACCAAGTGGCAGTGGTGTGAAATAACTAAGTATGGTATATTAACTCATGTTGCATACCCTACTGAAATTTGTGAAAACTAAATGGTTGTCTGTGAAACAGTTAAACACGCTCTAAATATTATATCTATATATTCTAAAAAAGTGAGGTATAAAATTGTCAAAAGTAGTAAGTAATGTTAAGTATTTGACCTGCATCCTGGTATGTTAACACATGGAATCCGGACTCACCATAATCATAATCCTAAACTCCTGCAATGATGTTTTCCCCATTAGAACGGGTCTTTGGTCCCCATGAGGACTACTGGTCCCGACGAGGCCAGTGTTTATACCAGTAAAGGTCCCGGTAGAAAAACGTACGCACACACCATTAGCACTATCTTCACGGTTCCAGTTTTGTCAAGCCCACATCTCTCTCTTGATGCAGTTATTCACTACTTTATGTGAAGTATTTAGACAACCATAATAATTTTAATTAGTGTGGCCTCTGTTCTTACCTGCTTTTCCAGGGACATAGGGATATATACACACAGTTTTATGATGTGAGCATTTACGTTTTTACTAATATAACTGTCATTATAAGTTGTTCTGGATCAGAGTCGGCTAACTGCACAAACCATCAAGGTAAATCCATTAAAACCACGTGATCCCTGTAGTAAACAGAAAATAAGAACAGAAAGTATAGCAATTTTCTTTATTACAATTTTTGTCTCTTATTTTCAATCAGGTGAAGAAAAATACCTTTTTTGTTCAGTATAATAAAATATGTTAACTTTATTCATTTTATGAAGAAAAACAATGACAACAAGAAAATAAAAACAGAAACAAACATTTTTCTCTCTCCCTCTTTGTAAACCTGGAGAGCTGCTGCATTGCGTGGGAAGCAAATACAACGGAGACAGAGTGTGAGGGAGCAGTGAAGAGGATGGAGAGGTGGGAGGAGGAGGAGAAGGAGGAGGAGGAGAAGGAGACAGAGGATAGTGACAAAAAGATAAGGCCAGAGACATACAAAAAATGAGCGTAGTAGGACAGGAGTGTGGTGAAGGGGCAGTCGGAGGATGTGGCGGTGATCAGAGCAGGTAGGCTGGTGGTCCCAAGTGTTCAGAGGTCGCTCTCTCCGTACAGAGCGGTAGAGAACGACATGTAGTCGAGGGCTCCCGGCACGGCGTCGGGGCCAGTGTAGGGGGCCATGCGGGCCATGCAGTACTCCGCCTGGTCTGGAGGCAGCTCCCGGCGCAGCTCATCGGCTAGAATGTAGTTCTGTCAAGGAAGAGAAAAATAAAACTACATTATTTAAAATTTAAAGCTATCAATAGAAGGCAGTGGAAACAAAATGTAAACACAACACTGACATATTATCACCATTAAGGTTGATATGGCAAACCTATTTCTTTAAGTCCAATATTCACTCCTTTTAGCTCTATTTTTTACAACAATATCTGCCCCTTTAGTTGCTAAATGCTCCACTATGTTCACCAGCTAGTTGCTAACTTTGTCTGTATGCTGTTTGAGGCTGGGCAGGAAGTGCACACTGGGTTTACCAGAGTTTTTTACTGAAACAACAGCCTGTTACAGCCAAAAACAACATTGACGAGAGCAGTGAGAGTGAACCAAAACAATGAGCTGAAAGATGCTAAGAAGGGAATTGCAGAGGCAGGTGATAAGTAGTTATGTGATCTATTGTTACAGTGGCTTTAAATGTGCTGCCTTGTTGTATAAGTTTTATAGATTTATTTTTACTTCTTCTTCTTTAAATATCTTTTCTGCTACTGTAAAAGTCTTTTGGCCAAAAGGAGCTAAATGTACGATGAGAATTTCTACTTCATTATTACTCTTTGACGATACTATAACACAACGCCGTACCTTATCCCCTGCCAGAACTTTGAAGGAGGCCATGACTTGGTCGGCAGTGTCTGTATCGGCTGTCTCGCGGGACATGAAGTCGATGAAGGCCTGGAAGGTGACGATGCCCATCCGGTTGGGATCCACTATGCTCATGATGCGAGAGAACTCGTTCTCACCCTGGTGGCAACAGAAAGGGAACTGTGAAGCTCAGTTGCTGGGGTGACAGTCCCCACGGCAACACACCAAAACACAAATATTCTGAATACAGAGATATAACCTATTTTGTATCTCAAACATGTAATACATAAATTAGTTTTAGGGTACTGTTGACTGAAATTCTTTAATTTGCATCACTGTAAATTTTAATACAGTCTTTAAATTGAGCTCTATGGTAAATAAACAATCTTTGAAAATCTAAAATAAGCTATACAAACATTTAAAAAAATAAAGGTTACATATATTCATTACCGTGTCCGACTGGCCTCATTAATCACACACAAACAAATGTTCATACTTGAAGAGTGCGCATGGCTTTACCAGGTTGTAACCAATGGAGATAAGGCAGGTTTTGAAGTCTTCAGCATCCATGATTCCTGATCTCTTCTACAAGGTCAGCGATGGACAAACGAAACCAGGAGGAGAAGAAAGACGTAGAGTGGCGGGGATAGCGGAGGAAAATTATTGGGAGAGTAAAGGATGAACAAAGTGTGGAATTTAGGAAGAGAAGCCACAACAATCCACAATTTGGACGTTGCAAGGTGTGGGAAATCACAGAGGAAATTTGTACAGGAGGGATAAGCAGTAGAGGTGGGAATAGAAGGAGAATAGAGGGAAGGGTAGAAGTACAAAGGGAAAAAGTACAAAAGAAACACAAAAAGAAACCAGTTAAACTTCTCACAGCGGGGGTACGGCTACGATTAAGTACCTGTGCATCGTTGGCGATATCGAAGCCCAGGCTGATCAGGCAGGCCTTGAACTCCTCCGCGCCCAGAGTGCCCGAGTGGTCCTGGGGTGTGGGAGGCCAGTGCCAGGCGAGGCGTCGGGGGCCACAGGCCATGCAGCAACACATACAGCGGTGTCAGTGACGGTGAAGGGGTGGATGAGGTGGGACAGGAGGGGGGTGAGGTGATGTTGGAGGGAGGTGGAGGGAGTGCACCATGCACGGGGTGGGGGAAAGGAGGTGAGGGGGGTGAAGGGAGAGGGCCATGCACGAGATAGAAAACAGAGAACACAGTGCATATTCATTAGGATCTGGCAGGTGAACACACGGTGGCAGCAGTGCTGCCATGCTGGCGAGGGCATTCAGAGGCGTTAATGTGCAGTGTGGCAGGCAGACTACGGGGGCCCTATGGTGAGGTTATTCATATCACTGATGGCACATGTACTTAACATCACAAAATATGCTTCTTCTTAGATGCAAAAGAATCTCTTTACCTTTTTGTACAGCATCAAAGCAAAATTCTTCATTAAACACTCCCAACATTTACAACCACATTAATTTCCCCATATACCCATATCTACTGCATTTCTCAATTTAGATGTCAGCAAACAGCAAAAAGCCCATTAGACATTCCCAGAACCTAAAGTGATGTCTTAAAATGTCTAATTTTGTCTGATCTTACAGTTTAATACCACAGAAGAAGACTTTTGACCATTTTTGCAACAATTCTTAAATGACTATTGGATTATCAGAATAGCTGGGAGTTAATTTACTAATGATCGACTAATAATCAATTTAGCAACTCATCTTCTCAGCTCTACCAATTATTATTTTTGCTCTATTTTCAATGAATTGGTTAGTCTATAAAATGTGAGAATATAATTAAAAACGTCCCAATTCCCAATAAGCCAAAGTGACATGTTAGCTGAAAATTAGTTTTGTTTAGACTAACAAATCAAAACCCAAAGATATTCAATTTGCACTAATATAATACGCAGACAATCAGTAAATCCTAACATCTGAAAAGCTAAAATCAGCAAATGTTTGATATTTTCTTGATAAGTTAGTTTATCAAGCTCAAAATTGTACATTTATTTTGTATTGATGGACTAACTGCTTAATGAACTAGTTGTATCAACACTGGCATAGACTATAAACCATCAAACTAAAGAGAAATGAATCCTTTGGTCTAAAGCTTTAGATTAATCTGGTGCTATAGGTTGATACGCTTTTCTCTCACATCTCCTAACAAACTTCACACTGAAAGCCTTGAAGGGGCAGACTTAGTCCTAATGAAATATGAAACAAGTTCAGGTTCAGAGTTGGCTTCCTGCGGGCTCCAATCGTCAACCTCAGGTATTGATTAACAATGGAGCAGCTCTGGAAAAATGCATGAGGTAATGGTGGAGTCAGCAGGAGAGCTGGGGTGAGGAGAAGGAGGAGAAGGGGGAGCAGAGGGAGCTAAATAAAAACTCATCCATAATTGGTGCTGTTCCTGACACATTGAGCCCTAGTGTAAACACTAAGTTCTGGACGTAGGAGGGGGGCTAACAAAGCAGGTTTTATAGAGACAGCCTTCCATGGAAAGATATTTTGTGGCTACCTGTGGTATAAACAAGAGCCCCAATTTCCATTCTACCTGCTCTGCTGTTGCACAATAAATTGATTTAGCTGATTCTGGCTGCCATTTTCTTGATATGCCTGAAAGCCCCTGAGCTTTTAAAGATGAATGTTGGGTCACTGAACTGTAAGTCCCTTTGCAACCAAAGCAGGAAGGTCAATAGACAACCTGATGCATTTCACACACAAACTGTACACTCACACATTTTCTGGTTAAAGGATTGTCCTTAGCCACACCTCGGGCAGCATGACATGATGTCTCAAACCCAGAAATAATATATTCTCACCTTAACTTCTTTGCTTTGTTGATGCAGTCTAAATATATAAAAGACAAACTCGTGACTCTGCATGCCAGAAGTTTTTACATCCATTGAAAGCAATATTTGGACTTTCAACTTTCTTGCTGAGAATTAGATGAGAAGATTAATACCACTCTCATGTCTGTATGATAACAATGAAGCTAGCTAGCAGACAATTAGCTTAGCTTAGCACTAAGCGCTAACAAAGCTTACTAATAAACCAGGAGACTCCAGGAAGTCACTGCTACCAACCAGGAAATACCAACCAGTCTGGTCGGGTCTTTACGCTAAGCTATGCTAAGCTAAGCTAAGTTAACTTCCTGCTGGTATTGTTGCTGTTCTTTAACTTTAATAAACATATTTCCCAAATGTTAAACTGTTCCTTTAACAACACGAACCCTTTTTGTTCCTATTTGAATCTTACTTTACAACATTTGTATTTGCCACAAACCAAATCCGCTGACTGTAAATGAGCATTGTACCACCCACAAAACACCTCTCCTCGCCTTTGTGTCTGCACGGTGACTCAGTACGAGTACTGACCCTGTCGAAGTGGTTGAAGGAAGCCCGGAACTCATTCAGCTGCTCCTGGCTGATGCCCTTGGCGTCTCGCGTCAAGATCTGGTTCTCAATTTCATTGATGGTGCGGGCGATGGTGGTGAGTAGCTGCTCCCAGCCCACGCGGATGTGCTGCAGAGGAGAAAGAGACACAAAGGCAGACGAAGTTTAAGGAAAGCTAGTAAAAGAGTCTCAGAGGCATTTGTTTTAGCTCAGCTTTAGCCTCAGTGATTGTAAATAAATGTTTGTTGTAACCTGCCTGGGGAAGAAGACAACTTTAATGCATTAGGACAATGCAGAAATGTCTGACATTCAACAGTGTCAAATGGCGGCTGACATTTTAAGACATTTTAATTTGAATGCTTTAATTATACACAGAATACTCTTTGGCTGTTCTCACATTGTGTCTCTGAAGGCCACTGCACACTTTGACTGTGAGAAAAATACAGAAAATAAGTGACCACTCTGCATTGTATAGATTCACATGTGGAGCCACAAATGCACCACAGCCACCATTTTCTCTTTGGTGAAATAGTATCCATCATCAGATAAAAACAGTTCAGGTATCAGTGATCTTCTGTCTGAATAGTAAAGACTACACCGTTTAAAACATAACATAAAGGGGGCATAACAGAAAAATAACTGCAGACCTAAAATGTTATTTGCATAAACACATTAGCAAATTTGGCTTTTAGACTTTAAATCTGTTGTTGTCTCTTTACTAAACGCTTTGCACAGAAGCTGAATCTAGTCACACACCTACACAATAGCTTAGAAAATGGGTCAGTTGATGTGCAGAATTTCAATAACAAGACTCATATGAATTATTTTGTCCAGTAAAAATAATTCTTGGCAGGCAGTGGTTTATATTTTTCCAGCACTTGTCTGATGAGCCAAAAAGTTAATTACATACACTAGAGACTTAATGGAAGCTCAGTATTAAATTAAAAAGTATTGTTTTGTTCTTTGTGGCAAATTGCAACCATCTGACAAAAACACAACAGAAAAAGTATTTGCAGTGTCCACCCCGTCAGATGATTATTAACAATTTCGGCGATAAGTGAAAACAAAAATCTTAGTCTTTTCTTTGCTAGGTTTTTGTTTCCAGGTTTTACCTCCATGGTGTAGTTGGTGTGCTTGTTGTCAAAGATGAGAGCTTCCTGAATGAGCTGGTGGTCTCCTTCCAGCTGGTCGATCTTTGGTTTGTAGTTGACAATGCTCTTCTCGTACTGGCGTAGGTGTGTTAGCTGGTCCTCCAGGGTGCCATGCATCTCAATTGAGATGCGCCCGATTTCCTGCAGAAGGTTATGACACAATTTAATAAGATTAAGTGGAGGACATGATAAAAGCATACTGAAATGACCAGAACTTATGATTTCTGCCTGGCATTTATCTCTTTACCTCGCTCTACCCTGTCATACAGACATACAAGCCTTGTTTTCATACCCTGCATTTTCCTTTTATCATATCCGGATTTAAAAGAATTCTATAAACCCAAATATCATTTTCTTGACATATGAGAGAAACATCAGAGTCAGAAAGTTTTACTATTTCTTATTTTAAACTCTAAACTAAAAAAGTGCTTAACAGAAATACACTGGTGAGTGACTAAACTTTAGTTTAAATGCACTGAAACTGCATACACAAACTAAATTACACACAGGCTGTACTGACGCGGCACTCGTCGCCACACTGGCCTCATTCTGAACTTGTAACATGGTCATTTGACTGTCGGCTCTGCTCACACTGACCTCCATCTTGGTCTGGATCCAGGGTCCGATGACATTGGCCTGGTTGGCAAACTGTCGGCGCAGACGCTCGTTGTTCTGCTGCCGGGCGTGTTCCTCAATCAGAGCCTGGTCGCGCTGAGGCACCAGCTGCCTGACCTACAGCAGGCAGGGGAGTCATGGAAAAGCCAAATGTGTTAATACATATTAATGTGGTTTTAATAAAGAGGGGAGACTGAAACTAATAATGGACGAAGATTTTTTTAGACATTGTAATTTGTTTCAGGATCTTACAGGCTCTTTCTCCTTTTCTAAAAACAAAACTCTTGCCATTAATAAAGCAATGTTTTCTGGGCTGAAAATAACAGATTTTATTGTAGCAGCCAGGCTCATTTTATGTACTTGTAAAAGCCCACATAGACCAGAGTGCCTTAAACTCAGAGACAGAGACAGCTTCCTTTAAAAATGTGATGGCCAAGTAAAAAATATCAAAAGCAAAACTTGTAAAACTTTAGATTTTCCAACAAACATTAAGGCAACACCATCTTAAAGACGGGACATCCTTTAGTAACTAAATATACTTATTTGCTTTCTTGCCGATAATTAGATGAGAAAATTGATACCTCTCATGTCTGTAAGATAAACATAAATCTACCAGTACAAGCCGGCTAACTTAGCTTAGCATAAAGACTGAAAACAGAGTGAAACGGCTAGCCTGGCTCTGTCTTTTTAAAACTCACTAACTAACATGTTATATCTTGTTTGTATAATCTGTTTAAAACTAGAGTGTAAAAACAATAATTTGGCATTTTAGGGAGGGTTATGTGCCAGACTATTTCTTGGCCGGTATCAGTTGCCAGGCAACCACAGCCAAGTTAGTGGTTTCCCCTGTTTCCAGTCAAGTTAGCTTGCTACTGGCGATGGCATCATATTTAGCACACAGACATGTGAGTGGTAACAATCTCTTATAAAAATCTCAAGCATTTAATAATATAAGAGAACACCAGGGTGACAGAATTGTTCTGATTCACTGTCCTTTTTATTTATATAGCTGTATTTTGATTTTAGTCAAGTCTTGGTTGGCTTTTCCCCCTTTTTTCTTTCTTCACAATGTTCAAAATATAAAAACAAACCCCCTATGCTCTTTACTTAATTGTTTTCCCATGATATATGTCTCAAGACTTAATTCTCTCAGATGAAGAGTCTTCCTGGCCTGCGATTAAGTTTTCGTGATAGATGGTCGAAGCTTTTACAGGCTAGACTGAGTCCTTCAAAAGTCTGTTAAAACTTTGGCTGGAAATACTATGAAAAATATTTGGCACTTTCTTAAATATTCATTGAATAAATAAAACGACCTTGAAGTGTATTGTAATGTTATTTCCCTGCTCGTGATTCATTTGTATTACCTTGTCCCATTTGGCATTAATCTCCTGTGGGTTGATGGTGGTGTAGGGGTTGGTGCCAGCCATATTCACATGATAGGTCTGCACAATCTTGGCAATCTCATTGTGGATGCCCAGGATGGCCTGGCGCTCCTTGTCGGCCTCCGGCAGCGTGGCTTTGAACTGCTCGTGGGCTGTGCTTAATCCCTGAGACACAAAACACAAACACATAAAATTAAAATTGAAACCACAAAAATAACAATAAAAAAAGGCTTTTTAAAACATTTTATACCTAGAAGAGAAATTTCCTTCCTCAGTCTTCCTAATTTAAACTGGTACATGGAGTTTTTAACTGGTTATAAAACAGTGTAGATTTAATACTGATGCCTTTGTATGACCTACATAAACAAACTAGACAGACTGGCTGTTATTCTTCATGTCTGCCATCAACATACTTCTACTTCTTCTATTGATTCTACAGTAAATAAAGTCTCCTAATTTACCTGTCCTTTGTGTGCTCACCTGGATTTCTTCGATGGTGTGGACGATAAAGGTATCCTGCAGGTCCTCCATGGCGCCCTCCATCCAGTTGTTGAATGGAGCCGCTCTTTTGGCAAACTCAAGGTACAGTTGGTCAATGGTTTCAAGCAGCTTCTCAGTTCTCTGTTGAACGTAAAAAACAAGGTTAGCACACATATTCACAGCCTTTTTACCTTCAAAGTCTTGTTAAGTGAAATTCAAAACTTCACAGAGGCTTCATTTTATTCATGATCTTCCAAAGAGCCGTGGTATATAGAAGATTTAAGTTCATATTTTTACGAATAAAAAAAGATCTCAAATCTCTAAACTTTAAAGGATTGTCAAGGGCAGTGGAAATCCTGAAAATCACATAGTCTCTTCACGGCCTATCACTGTGAAGGAGAACACTTTCATGTCTAAATGTGTAATTATCTCTGCTCTAACCAGGAAGGACAGCAGGGACTTGGAAACAGGGATAGTGAGTGATTTTAGAGGTTAGAACTGTGACTCTTCGGCAGCTCATTTGTTTTTAATTCTCTTAGGGTTATCCCAGAGCTTCTTTTTTAACCCGTCTCACCTGCAAAGCCTCGCTGCGTTTCTGGGTCAGAGCTCCCAGTGCGTCCCACTGGTCACAAATCCGCTGGCAGCGAGCGTTTACACTGGGGGAGTCATAGTAGTCCAGCTCACTGGAGCACAAATAGACGAGGGAACAAGAGATTCATTAAAATGATCTGCATCACAGCAGTTTGCATTTACATTGTTCACTTAAGCTGTTATTCACTTGGTTGTTGTTTTTTTACCATCCTCTTTCTTCACTTTAATGTCTTTATGATCCTGCTGTGTCACTGTTTGTCAGCTTTTTTTATGTTGTGAAATGTTTTCTTCTCTGAGTCACTGGTTAGGTTTGTGTTTCTTTTATTCTGTTCAGTTTTTCATTGTTTGTTCATTAACTTCTGCAAATTAATTTTAAGGGAGGGACTTCTGATGTCTATGGTTAAAATACTGAAAGTAACTAAAAACCATCTGAGATCACTACAAAAAACTGAAAAGAGACAATAATCAATATGTGTTTCTGAATCATGTCCTGAATGTAATGCCAACTTACACACAACTGTCAACCTATCCTACTCTATTTTATCCATTATTGATCAACAGAAGGTTGACTCTTGTTTATCATCTCTTACTTTAACTCCTGTGCGATGGCTGCGATCTGCTCCACACGGTCCTGATGTGCAGCCAGATCGCTCTCAAAGGCCTCGTGTTTCTTCAGCAGGGCCTTGATCTCTGACAGAGAGGCCGTCTCGTAGTCACGCTTCTGCAGCATGTCCTCCTTACCTGCAGGGGAAGACACAGAGAATGTGCTAGTGAAGTTAAGACTTTTTAAAAAATCTATCAACACTGGCATTTCTGTTCTGTTTAGAATCGTTGTTAAATGATACTAGAATAAAAATTACAGTTTAACAAGCCAACGTCCCAGAAAAGGCTGTATTTTCTGTTTTACTTTGCTGTGGCCTTTATCAGCCAGCTTGAGGCATACAAGACTAAAGCACAGGAGGATCTATATATTCAAACAGCGAGTATTTCTCGGCTTCTTTCAAACACTCAGTACCTTCAGTCCAAGCTTCATGGATGGCTGCTTTCTGGCGAAATTTCTCCGCGAGGTGATCAAGTCTTTCCAGCCTGCGGATCTCATTGAGGAGCCACTCTTCATATCCTTTCTCTGCTCCCTCTAGATTTCCCCACGCATTGTTAATGTCCTATACGAGGCAAAGGAGAATGCTTGAGAATTTATTCTTAAAAACATGAGAATGGCCTCATGTGTAAATTAGGCTATGACTACGAAGAGTCATTTGATCTATTTTTAATATAAAAATATTGATTATCGCAGCTTTAAATTGGATATAAGTTACAACAAATATATGAAAATAGTATGTTCTGTTGAGAAAAAGAAAAGAAATGTCATCGTTGTGATTGTGCAATTATCACATATTTGTACATTTTAAAAGTAAAGTGCAGATAAGAAAGTACAATTTCATCTTTGCTTAAGAGGGTTTCAAAGTGCACCAACAGTCTGTTAGTCACATCTTCTCCAACTTCATCTATAAAGGTAATGATACTATAGGCCATATTTGGGCTGTACTTGAGATTTGAAATTTGACATCTCAAAGCAAACAAGCAACCAAGTGAGACACAGGTTAAAAATGGGTTCAAATGTTCCCTGGCATCATCTGCCTACATGATTCATTCATGTAAGCTGAGGTAACTCTTTGGCCAGTAATGACCAGCAATCAGTTGCAGTTTCACAGCCATGCACAGAGCAGGTTTGGATCTCAAACTTTTCTTTAAGAATTTAGAGACCTTCGCATATGAGTTTGTACTTTCACGAGTTGCTGCGACCTACCGAGACCATCTTTCCCTCTGAGGGCATGAAGGCGGGCCTGTTGCTGAGCCTCAGCTTGGTCTGCAGAGTGTTGAAGTTGATCTCCAGCTGGCACTTCTCTTGCACTTTGGGCGGCTTGTGGAGGCGGCGGTAATCTCTGAAGTCCTCCAGCTTCTGCTGCATGGCCTGCATGGTGTTCTCGGGCATGCGGTTCTCCAGCCAGGGGATGGTGCGGCGGATCCACTCCAACAGCTGGGGTGTTGATGGTGGTGTTGTGTGGGCAAGTGTGTGTGTATGTTTATGGGTGAGAATAAGAGGAAGGGGGATGGAGGAGAAACAAGTACCATTTGAGGGAAAGAAAACGGAGAACCATGCACATAAAAGGAAAGGGGAGAAGGAAATAAATGAGGTATAGTGGATGTAATATGTGTCGGTAAAAGAAGAACACAGGTTGAGATAATTGGTTAGCTAATTGTTTTGTTTTTGCAACCAAATGTAATAAACATTTTATGTCTGATTTAAAGGACCATACTCGTGTTTTTGCTTGTTTTATCCCGTTAAGTGCAATTTGTATGTTATTTGCAACGCTGCTGACCACTTTCCATAGCTTATACCTTCAAACTACTCGAGTCTTACCAATACATACGCAAACATATTTTTAACGAAGATCCCTTAAATTTGGTTATAAAATAATTGTTATGTACTGACATTTTACATCTGAAAAATAGTATTCACTATACTATTACAAATCTACTGTCTAACCTTCCCACAGGCACTTAAATGCACCACACAGAAGTCTTTTCAAAACAACAAAAATACAATCCTAACTTTCAAGATGTGACAACTAACTATTATTTTTATTAACAAACACTGCAGATTATTTTGATTGTTTGGTCAATAAAATACTAAAAAAAATTTTTTTCCTAAAACCTAACCTGATGTTTTAAAATATCTTGGTTTGTTCAGCTATCAAAATAGTTGCTCACTGTTGTTTCTAGGGATTGACAAATGGTATCAGCTTTAATACAAATACTCATTTTCAAATCTCTGGTTGGTTCATTTTGGTATTGTTCTAACATAAAACCAAAGGCTTCTTTGATGATAAAAAGCTTTATCGATTGAAAAATATGAAATTCTTTGTAAAATAATCAACAATGAACAAAATTAGTATTTGCAGTTGCTGGTAAACGAGATAAACAAGCAAAAAACACAGTCTTGTTAAAATTACTAGTAAGATACTATTTACGCTTAAGCCATAAACCAGCAGTGTTTTCCTGGCTGCCTTTTTATCTTGATCTACCCTGTTTGTGTTCCCTGACCCTGCACCTGTACAGAGCACAAACACCCCCGGGGGCTGGGAGGCGAGGGAGCGGCTTAAAAAGGAGAACAGGGAGATAAAAGGGTAGAGGGGGTGCAGGACAATTATAGGAAAATCAGGGTGTGCTCACATCACTGGCCAGCTTCTCATAGTCCTCCATCAGCTGCTCATTCTCTTGGTTGACAGCCAGCACCTTGCAGATCCTGTTGGCCGCCGTCTCTGCCTGGATGACGAGGACGAGGGGAGAAACAGTGTGAGACCCAGAGCCGAGCTTTGGTGGTGTTCCGACATCTATGCTGTGCAATGGATGCATATTTTGGTGTATGTATATATAAAATATATGTAAAGTGACATATTTTTCGTAACAATGTACATTTACTCATGTAATGTATTTGAGTACAACTGATTTACGTTATACTTCTTCTCCACTACATTTCAGAGGGAAAAATTTTACTTTTTCCACTACTTTTATTTGCGTTTTTACTACGGTAGTTACTTTTCAGATTAAGATTTTACATTTAAAAAACATGATGATCTAATAAAAAATGATATATTATTTAATGTCAAACCAGTGTCTACCAACCTTTTACACTCATAACAACTTACAAAAAGATCAATGGTACCCTTTGTCACATTTCAGATGTCTCTGAGTTTGTTAACAGTTCTAACAAAAACGTTTTCACCTCTAAAAAAGCAATGACTCAATGTAATTTCCCAAAAATTATACAAATTTATGTTGTAGAACTTTCCCTTTTCTTCTTTCCAAACGTATAAATCATCTAACGGCCTCCAGATTTTTACTGTGACCCTTTCAGGGGGCCTGATCTCTAGGTTGAGAACCACTGGACTAAACTACCTACAGTAACAACATATAAAGTAGTAGCTCCTGTGACCAGCTACCACAGTAAAATGTTACTCCCACAATGATTCATTAGAATTAGCAATCTAATAATATCATACATAATAATATATCAGTCACAGGGTTTTTTTTTTTTCTTCAGCAGAACTTTTGATACTTTAAGTACATTTTGTTGCTAATACTTCTTACTTAGTTAGAATATTGAATGCGGGACATTTACTTCTAATGGATTATTTTTACATTCACATTTATTTCCACCATTTGACTGCATACATCCATCTACGCTGCCTACACAAGGAAGATTTCCCAAATGAGTCATTTTGGGGATGAAGCAATGGATCAGCAAGAATGCTGCAAGCAAGTAAAAACAGGACAGTTTCTGCATGATGCTATCTCAGTAATACTGTTTGGACTTGTGTGTTGCCCAATGTCATGTAAAGATCACAGAAGATTAATAATTTAATGTCTGTTTCCAACAGGAAGGACTCTGGAGAGCGACAGAGAGATTTAACAAGGACACATCATATTGTACCTGTCTTCAGGTGTAGGGGCACCTTTCTCTCTGACACTGTCTTTTTATAGAACAGCAGTGTACAGTGAGTTATTTTAGCCTCTCAACCCACATACAGAGAGCAGGAAAATGGAGAGCGAGGCTCCTGTGAGAATAAAAAAAGCCCAATGGGGATAAAGAGGGGTTCATCCATGACACAACAGTTCCTTCACAGGGCCTGTCAGTCTTCATCACTGGACTGGCAATGCAAGGAGAGTTTCCATGACAACATGTAGTCAGTTAACCCGGTGGGTTCAAGATGAGTAAATGTGGTCAGGAAAGCTCATTGGAAACAAGAGCAGAAGAGAAAATGGACATAGAAATTTAAGCAACATGCACAAAGTCTGGAAAATATGCAGAAATGTGACATAATCAGCTAGATATAAAATTTCCCAGCAGTATTTTAAAGTGTTGAAAGTAAAGATAATTTCAAAATCAAAAGAAATCCTTCTGCGACTATAATGAATCAACCCAAACAGCCCTATTATCGATTTCCTTTAAAAAGGCTTGACAAGGAAATTAGTGGATTAAAAAAGGCAATTTAACCTCGCAGCAGCATCCTTTTTAGAGAGTACAGACACACAGTAAGACAGACTTGAATCTCCCTCCCACTGCATTTCATAGCTCAGAGACTGGCATCCCACTCAGAGCACTGCTTCCAGCCTCCTTTGTCAAAAGATCATGGGGGAAACTTGGCTCGGCCCGAGACATGCTCTGGGGGGCTCCACCAGGAGAAGCAAGTGAGCTGCCTTAAAAGGAGAGGCAGGATGTGCAGGTCGTGCTTCTGTGAGCAAATGTTTGCACGCTGGGCCTGTTTACTGACAGTCCTGACAGCCAGGACCTCTTTTATGAATTACTTTGTCCTGACATCAGAGGTAGCAGAGAGAGGACACTGGAAGGATTGATTAAGGCAAAAACTTTCTTACAGTTCATCTATGTATGGACCTTGCTCTGGTCTGATCCTCTCGTGTATTATCATTAAATTTTAATTGCAGAGCTAATGAATATCATAAAGATGATTTTTCAAAAACTCAGAATGTCTTTTAAAAGCAAAAAATTTAAAAGTTATATAAAATATCAGGGGCTGGAGCTAGGATTTAAAACTCCTGAGGCCATGAGTCCTAAAACACTGCCCTCATTAGAATTTTTTGACTAGCCATCAAAAAATACTTTTTTTAAAAACATTTTATTTATGTACTTAAACCTGCAATAACTGGGTTTTTGTTTGGCCTTACCATATTTTAAGGTGATGTGGAGAATATGTTAGCAAACAGTTGTCCTGCTGGCGAATGTAAGTGCAGTATTCGCTCTCTTTTTAGTTCTCTTTTGGTTTCCAACAACTCCTGAGGGAAATAATTGGCTCTTTAGCTGCTAAACGCTCCACTATGTCTACCAGATAGTTGCTAATTGTGTCTGTCTGCTGTTTGGTGCTGGGCAGATACTGTACAGAGGGTTTTTGGAGGTTATTTGCTGAAAAATGCTGCCTGTTGTGACTGAAAACGTTGAGCAGAGATGAGAGGGACTGCAGGTAGTAATTCCCTGTGGGTTTGTCTCGACGAGTGACCCCTTTCATACAAAAGTAATGTGATACTTTGTTAAAATAATGATTAGAGCAGCTTCAAGGTGACGTTTAATGTAATGCAAATCAAACACACAGTGAAGTTCCTCATTTCCTCTTTCCATAATTGTATTTTAGTGTCAAACTACTGCCTGTTTCTAGTTGTCTGCACATAATCTTATCAAGATTTCTTACATAACTTATTTTGCTCAGAGCGCATTTATAGATTTGACTCACCCTCAGATAAATAAAACATGAAAATATTAAATTTGATCTACAGTGATCTTCTCCACTTTGCCAGGTATGGAATCCTGGTGTAAAACACTAAATGCCTTTATTTTCTTTTAATTAAAAAACTGTATTTCACCCTAATTACAGTCAAATTTCAAGCAATTCAGTGTTAAAATACTAGAATCCGACACCCAAAAGGTAAAATATGTTTGTGACTGTAGAATGTAAAGCTCATTAAACCACCCTGTATTCCCAGAAATATCACAAAGGACCTGACTTCAGTGACCTCAGTGGTATTTATAACCTATTTATCCATATTTATTTTCCATTTCTTTTTATTTTCAGTAACGTTTTTCTTGCATTGCTCTAAGCAGGAAGGAGATATGATTTCCAACTTTTCTTTTTATTAGAAAACAGGTTAAATATTTTTATGATATAGCACAAAGAATATTAAAAAATATATCTGTATATATCTATATCTGTGACTCAAATGGACTGTGATAATAATACATAAAAGGTACAAAGCGGGGCTAACACTGAGAGAGAAAAGGTTATACTGATGGTGTTTATGGGGAAAGTTCTGCCCTGGAGGGTACAATCTGAGGTGTCAGACAGAGGAGGAGTAACTGTTTCTCTGCCCCCTGTTTCTGTTTCTGTGTGAAATCTGTGCCAGCGCCGTAAAAGCTGAGAACCAGCCAGCAGTGGTTTCCGGACTCCTGCTCCTCAGGAGGTTCAAGAGCTCCATTAAGAAGTGGATCCTAATAAAGATTTTAAGTACACAAGACTTAGCGGATATCCTGTGTGTGTGATAAGTCTCTATTATTCTCTGCAGAGATCTTTAGTGGATTTGGCATGTCTTTGGCATAATGTATTCCACTGAGAGTGTAAGAACTTGCTGGCAGAGGAGAAAGGTTCTGTGCTTTATCAAAGATCAATACGCTGCTGAAAGAGGCAGATAAGGAGGTTCTGAATAACGGAGGGTTTGGTTTCCCACCTACAATAAAAACGTATTAACTCATAGCACTTAAAATACTGTAGTTCACTGGTTCTGCTTGGAGATAAGATGTCAGCATTGTAAAAATGTGTTTCTTGGTCTGGTTAATGTTTTAAAATGAGCTTGAATCAACCAAAAAACACTTTCACTTGAAGTTGTTCCCTGACTGGCTATTTCTCACGTTGGTTACAGGATGTTTTCATTAGCTTAACTGCATTAACAGATTTTTTTGGCCATAACTTGTAAACACAACATTAATATACTTTTATATTGATATAAATTGATATAATTAGCAAATGGTTGCTTATTGACACATCCAGCAGTTACAGAACAACAAGAACATTGTTTGTTTGTGTGTCCATCTGATGAATGTTCATCCAATATTCTCCACATACTTTACTTTACTACTACTTTTTCAGTTGCTAAAGGTTCACCAGCTAATTGCTAACTTTGTCTGTGTGTCTTTTGGTGCTGAGCAGGTAGTGTACAGTGCATTTATTAAAGCTTATACTAAAACAACGCTGTGAGAGCAGTGAGTAGGAACAAAACATTTACCATAAACACTGGGACCATAAAACCAAAACAATGAGCTGAAAGATGCTAAAACGCATTTGTTGATATAAAATACTGATACTGATTAGAGCAGCTTTAAAAACACCAATTGTATGGTCATTTTTGGTGTCATACAGTCAAATTATGGAATCACATTATTCACTGTAAGCAGCCAAAAAAATTAATGTTGGCAAAAACGACTCTGTCATTCTCTGCCAGCCACTTTGGCAGGTATCCGGTTATTGTTTGGAGATTTATTAAATTTTTTTTTTCATTTCTCACCTTCTGCTTGCCTGAGAATGCGTGGTAGTAACACGACACATAAGTCATGACGGCCTTCTCATCTGGCCTCAAGGTGCTAATGATATCTGCCCAGGGAACAGAGGAAGGGGAGAGAGGACAGAGAAGAGAAAAATGCACAAGAGTAAAAGAGTGCAGAGACAAAAGGACTAGCAGGGGGCGTAATCACAAGAGGAGGAGACAGTGGGGGCACAAGTCATCTCCAGTCTACCTATAGGTTGATTTCAGGTTGGTTTGTTTTTAGGGAAATCTTGATTTCTTACTACAAAATATTAAAATTGATTGAATTTTCAGTGGGAAGTGAGTGGACGAAGTGTAAAAAAAAGATATATTAATATGTATGTACTGTTCAAGAAACTTGGAAGTTCAGGTTCAATTCAAGATACAGTTTAAATAAATTCACAGTCTGAAGACAAGCGCCTCTAGCAAAAATACAACCAGAGATTTGGTATCAAATATCTGCCAATAGCTGTAAAATATGGAAGATTAACTCAGTCAGACAGAGGCCAAAGTTACAACTCTGTGATATCATTAATTTTGTAAGGAGGGATAACTTCTTGTATTTCTTGTATAACTTGTATTTTGTAACTAAACTTAGTCCAGCTTAATTTAGGAACCAGCCATGTCTCATCCTCTCACATCCATGATGCAATCTAGAGTCCAGCTGTAGTTTCACTGCTCTCAGTGAGGCAAACTACACCTCTCCACTCTCTCCAGTTATAAACACAGACATTTTTGATCGGAGTTGCTTAAACACAGCTGTGTTGAAATGCTCTCTCTGCTGCTGGGCCTCTCAAATGAACCTGGCTCTTATATAACTTCTGCTCTGTGATGCTCTTTTTCTCCCCTGGCTGAGAGGAGGCACAACTTCAGAGTTCCTGCCACGCTTCAAGGTAGCTGTCAAACTAACAATCATTCATTATCCAACAGAGAAAGTCAGATACAACACTTCTTTCTTGCAGAGAAACAAGGAAACAGACTCCCCACTTAAGTCAGACAGCGTGTAGCTATTAAAATTAAAAGACAGCTTTCTATTTGACTTTGAAGTGCCGGTTTTAATTTCATTCATTTTTCCACCCTCCATTTAAGCTGTCGCTCTCAACATAACCATCCATTTAAATGGTTACATCTCCCCCACCACGCCAGACTTCAAGCTAATTTGTTTCTCTCCATCAGCAACCGTGGCTTTTATCACAGGCAATCATCATCATTTATCAGACTAACTTCGCCGCACCTCCCACTCCGCTCAGCTTCTGTTCAGCGTAACAAAACCCTAATCAGGGGTGAATGCGACGGCCTGCAGCGCCATAATAACGAGGTATGCTGGAGATACACTTGTGCTCACTGCTCCTAAGAACAGGGTGTTGTCATCCCATCATGCATTTGGTGGCGTGAACCATGCGGAAAGTGAAGGAGAGTGACCCCTGCAGGGGGACGTTGTGCACTGCAGAAAGAGAAGGGAACTGTTAGGAGAAACACACGGAAGTAGAAACAAGGAGAGGAGAGGAGAGGAGTGAGGAAGAGGAGCAGGAAGGAGAAGGAGACGCTGCATCCAGGATACCTTCTGGGCGCCCGAGAAGGCATGGTAGAAGCTAGAGACGTAGGTCATGATCGCCTTCTCATCCGGACGGGCAGTGCCCACAATGTCTGCGGGGGAAGAGAAAAGGTCAGGGAAGGGGTGGAGGATGGAGGGGGGGATGTTAAAAAGAGCACAGATAAATGAAGACACAGGAAGTAGAGCTGGGGTTCAGCTCTGCACATAAACAATATCCAGAGTGGAAAGAAAAACACATTGTGTCACTGTCCAGATGTGCTTAACGGGGAGGATTTGATTTAAACTTTGCAGTCTTAAACACAGAAACACACAGATGTTAGACGTCAACAACTACAGTACTAAGTGAGCAGAATCCTTTAAAGGCTTTAATCTATTTGTAGAGCAGGAACTTTATATTTACATTTAATAAAGGATGTGTGTGTGTCTCCCTCTGTGTGCACAGCTGCATGTGTCAGTGTTAAAGCCAAAATATACTCTCTGAGAAATTGGTGCCTAGAGATCAATAAGCAGGCTACAAAAAACAATAAGTGGTGAAAAATAGAGAGTCCATCTATCATCTCATATCTTTCTTGTGCTATTGTTCAGAACTTCCTCTAGATTTTTGGTTTGTTCGTCTGAATGCACATTAACTTGCAGACACAGAGGCAATTGGTGCGATTCAGCACTAAACATATAAAATGATGTAATGTAAGTAGGAATGTGAGGAATGTGAAGACAATAATTTCCCATTTTCACACCTTTGCACACCTGGCTAATTGCTAAGGCGTGGCGGTCAAATTGTAGGTTTCGGAAAGTTATAAAAAATCGGGTAGGGCAAAACCAGTCCATGTCCTGAAAGGAGCTTCTCACCACTTTCAGACTTCTGAACAGGGTTTCTAAGAGAATATATATTTGGTATTTGAACACAGGAAAAAGTCTGCTCTCCTCATCATCATTTTACTGTTTTCCTCCCCGCCGACTCACCTTCTGCGTCCAACATCTTGGGGATGTCCAGGTACTTTTCTGCCACATCGAAGGCTGTGTTCAGGTTGGTCATGGGATCGTCCTGTCAACAGCAGACCATCAAGACTTTTAGACTTAATGTCATTACATTATCCTGGTTCGAAAGTACAGCTTTTTCACAGTAGCGCACAATGAACAATGGCTACTTGAAAAACTGACAGGAGGAGTATGTGTGCAACTATCATATGAAAGATGATCAAATATATTTCTCAGAAATATTAAGTTATCATTTAAAAAAGGTCAAACTCGCTTTAAGTTAAGTACTGTTTTTCTACTTGTTGTTGCTTATAAAGGTAGCAAATATGTATGATTAATAATTAATCTACTTTATGACCAAATAGATTAGGTTTTGCCTCTTACCTAACAATAAATTAAGTAATTCAGTATGATTGAACAGACATAAATTAATTTAAGTATTTTCTTTTTCTGCCAAAAATGTCATAGTTTCAGCTTCTCTAATCAATAATCTATGAATGAATTGAGAAAATAATCAACAAAAACAAATACAAGGGCAACTACAAATTGAAAACAGAGATAAGAAATTATTTTCTTTCTTGAGGACTTCATAATTTACAATTTATCAACATGAATGCTTTTGATTTATTAATTGCTGCAGTTTTTTCTACGTTTTGTTGCTTGAAAAAGTTTACAAGAACTAGCAAAAATCCCCTAAAATAAAAGGCTAGAGTTCTTTTAAACTAAACTTTAACCAACATATTAATATTTTACAGTATGCTGTTTGTCTGTTTTGCTACCAGACACTGTTCATGAGGCTATTTCACAGTCAGATAATAACATGTTTATACATCTCTGTGAACTTGATTGTGCCTCAGCAGGATACTCCAACCTGGTTGACACAAAGACACAAGAATGTACAGCTACTGTTTTACCTGGTTTGATCATAAGAGCTGAACAGTTAGTTTCTCCTCTCCTTTCACTTTGTACTTGTGTTTGTTTTGCATAGAAAACCTTCGAAGTATGGTGAACTTGTATTAGTATTTTTGGTTTTATGGTTTTAGCGACTTCTCTATATGTTTGTCACATTAATGTCAGACAACACTCGCTCACCTTGCGCAGTTTTCCATAGTCAATGAGCTCTGGACGGTGTCGATGAATGAGTGCACAGAAACCCAAACCATCTTTCCAGCTGAAAGAGAGAGAGAGAAATAGGTGTAACGAGGGTGAAAGTGAGGTGAAACATAACAAGCTGAGGAAAACAAAAGGAATTTAACTTTAATCTTTGATCAAGATCATCCCCCTCCGTCTGTCTCCCTAATTGGTTTCATGTAACACACCCACGTCTTCCCAGCAGCACATGGTGTGTTACTGTAACACAGCAGGAACCTGACCACTATCAGCCTAAACGGAGAAGATAGCTTATCTTATGTACCACATGGTCCAAGTCTCTAATTAAAGCTGAGCCACAGCCTCTGAAGTTTGAGAAACTACAAATTTCTGGTGCTTTGTCATGATGAAGTCAAGTTAAATTTTTCTTTTATTTGAATGGTAAATACAGTTATAAGACGTCATATTTAACATTGGAATATAATGTTAAATGAGACAAGACTGAAGAGTGTGTTGGAACAAACTCAATCTACAGTCTATGATGTAAAACAGCGTCTCTGAAGAATAAAAAGTGGGAACTTGAGCAAAAAAATTACCATCAAACTGTTTTCAAGGACCATGAAAAAATTGTTAATTGCAGTCATTTGGCTTTTGAGGTCCAGATTCTGGACCATGCTCAGAGAAAAATAAATTCCAGTTAGTCACTTTTGTACACTGAACAGACATGGTATTTTGGTACTGGTATACTTTCATTTTCCAGAGTAATTTTCTTGGCAAGTGGCCTCAGTGAAACTTACTGACTTACAGATGTGGTCCAATTTTTACAGAATGCTGCAGCGCTGTGTCTCCAAACTCAAGAGAAGCTGCTACCAAATATCAAAGTTTGTATTATGTCATACAAGTTTATTTATTTTCTGTATTTGTTTACAATGTTTTTACCAAGTAAATGTTGGACATTAATGCTTCCATTAGATGACTATTAAAAAGTGAGCCACATTACCATTAATTTGAATTCATGTTTTTGTCTACCCGACAAATGGCAGTCCAATTTCATTCGCCTTAAAGCTCTAATTTGGTCTCCATCAACTCTTGAGTGAAATATATGTCTCTTTAGCTGCTAAATGCTCCACTTTGTTCACAAGCTAGTCGCTAACTTTGTGCTGGGCAGGTAGTGTACAGTGGGTTTTAAAGTAGTGAAAAAAGTAGCCTGCTGCACTTAAAAATGCTATGAGAGCAGTAAGAATGAACCAAAACAGTTAAGATTTGGACGGTTAAACCAACGGTTAAACAAAAAGAGTGAAAAAATGCTTAAAAAACTATTGTATAGTCGGGTGATCATTTTCTGTAGGTTTGCCACTACAAGCGTCACTTTTTACGTTACATTTAATCCAATGTTAATATAAAAACATTGATTATAGCAGCTTTAAGATTCGCTTAAGCACTAATTTCAACTGGCAGATGGCACAAAATTAGAGAACATTAAAGTTAAATCAAATGTTGTCTTGAAATAAATGATCATGTGTTTATTTAGCTGAAAGACATATTTTTAGCTTGGCCTTCTGTGGTTCATTGATTAATGGCCTTGATGCTGAAAGCAGGCTGTCTGTAAATGCAGTATGATAGGATGGTGCAGAGCACTCTCAATCTCAATTTGGAAGAGTTCTGGAGGATTTACTGGTGCTCTCGGCTCGCACGGTAACAAATTAGTGAGATGGGTTATTTAAATGTATTACGTGCCATAAAAAAGGGCCTGTAATGCCGAGAGCGGCTTTTACAAGGTGTCTCTTATACCTGAAGCAGCAGTGCTTGAGTGCTTCGGAAAAAAAGAAAGAACAGCAATCTTCCTCGTCTGCCTCTCATCTCCTGGCTGAGATATACTGCTATCATGTCTCACAGAGAGACCACATCAAAGCTCTGCTCTGACAATCCCCCTCTCCAGCACCGGGATCATCAGGCCTCTCCCTTTACCTTCTCCTGAAATGACCTCCCCTCCACCTCTCTTCCCACCTCGGCTTTCATCCACATCTGAGGATCACAGCGGTCTTCTTTCAATAATTCAACACGCATGGAGGCATCCTATGACGTGGTCTGAGGCCCACCTAAACCCACTTGTGGCAGGAACAGATCCATGGGTATGAAACGTGGAAGCTAGGATCAGACGATAACTCATATCCTCCTATTCTCCCTACTTTATATAATTTGATATTTGCATGCAACAAGCCATATCTACTTATCTGATATAAATTTAAATGCACTGGTTGATGACTGCCACCTCCTCTCCCTCTCAGTTGGTCTGGTGTATGAGAACATGTCTGCTGGTCTGTTGTCTGTTCAGCATCAGCACTGTCTGAGACTACTGCTGTCATCTGTGCTGAATCAGTAATAATTTATAATATATATATATATATATATATATATATATATATGTAATCCTGGTGTGCTTCAAGT